AGCCCAATTGACGCCGGTCAACTGCACCGCGCCATCGACACCTGCCTTTAGACCCTGCCACATTTCGGACGTCGGGTCGCGCTCGGCGACGAACATCGCAGATACGAACTTCTCGCCCTCATTGTACATCACCAGTAGACTGTCCGGTTCCTGGAAACCGCACAGGTACGAAAAGTCCGAGTCCTGACGGAAAACGAAAGGCACGTCCGGTGCCGAGTAGAGTGTAGACGCAGCCGGCACAATGACCAGGTGAGTGGCTGACGACGAGGCTCGCAAACCGCTCTCCCTGCGCAAGCTTCGCAACAACGTATACCGTCGGTCAGCGTATTCGGTCTTCGTCAAGCCAACGGTCACTTCGTTCGAATCCAACAGATGAGGGTGACTGTAGAATGAAGGCTGACCGACGTATCTCGAGACTGGACTCTCATGGTTATTTGCAACATCCAAAGTCGAGCACAACCGTCGAGCAGTTGGTCGCCGTAAGCATCTGGACAGTCGATGAATCATGCTCGGTACTAAATATATTACACAGTAACACAACAGTGGTTAGAATAAGAAACACTGATTCCAAAAAATAGTTAAAATTTAGGACATCTTTAAAGATAAATGGCAATAGCCAAATGAGTTGAAATTGATGCATTAGAGTCAGTTACGGAATGTCATTTGTATTTCTGTTTCAACGGATGTCGCTGTAGAAAATAAAGCCAATAAACTTTAAGGTTTTCCAAGTCAGAGGTTGCTCCTCAACACCAGGAGGTATTATTTCGTCCGCAACGTAGCAGTCACCCAACTTACGGACCTATCCTTTATCACTGCTGCAGTACTGTTCCGTTTGAGCACATGGCCAAGAGACTGAAAAATAGTGCAAGAGACTGAAAAATAGTGGTTCTTGTACGAACTCGCCTAGCTGCAACAGCAAACAATCGCAACTGATTTCTATCGTTGTCTTTCTGGCTGTGTCCCAAATGCAGATCCGGTTTCCGAAAAATTCAACGACGCTGTATCCATATGCCGCAGTTCGTTGGCGTAAAAGTCCTAATGCTGAACACGCTTCTCTCAGTGACAACTACGGCGACGATGTTTTGACCACGAATCTCATGGGTCTGCCTCACGGTCATTTCAAGGTCACTTCGGCAAACGACTCGAAACGCAGTCTGGTTACATAACAAAACGGAAGTCAAAGCCTGTCACCTGCAATCCAATATCAAATCTAATTCTTCCCCTCCATAAATCTGAAAATTCCCTATTATTCCCACTCTGTAATGTCTTCGTTTATAATCTATAGCAGTTGAAATCCAAGACAAAGACAAGAGGAGTGATATGTTGCCATATCACTGTTCCACAACAGACTGCTTGGTGAACATTTGCCTGACGCTGCAGTCGTAGAACAGAAAACGAAACGAATCAGAGTGCAAACCATACCGATTAAAACTCTTACCATGAACAATGATCTTTATTATTGGTGCGACCCAATGGCCTATCTTCAAAATTCTTATAGACCCACCTGAATTTAAGTTGCGCTTGAGTGGTAGATTTGCACCAATTAATGAGTACCGTCTGATCAATAGGATCCATGAAAACCTCAACGGTACCTGCTTAACCCCCTCCTTCCATACAGCGCACCATTATTGCCACCAACGATGACAAAACAAATCTGGTACAATTAGTCCACCAACCCTGACAATAACAGACAACATAAAGGATGTATCCATACATATACGCTTTACGGATATTTTAGTATTACTGTTGGAATCCTGTCCAAGAGAAATCTGTTGTCCCTAAAGTTATTTATCATTCTATCCCTTTTACCGAGTGATATACAATATAGAATTTATTATATACATATTCTCTAGCGTTTCCATCATGTTCGACATGGAATTGCATTCACGTGGAATGAAGTAAGGAAGTAACCTCCTCCAGGGTGTAGTTTGTCCCTGACAGTACGGACGCATATGAAGGAAGACATGCGTTATTACAGAGTGAAAATGACTTGCAGCTGTATCAATTCTCATCTTCCTGAAAGTAAAACGACATGTGTTATTGCCACGGTCAACTCAACGATCAAACCAACAGGCCTCGAGAATCCAGTTGACTGTGAAAGTATTTTACATAGTCACTGTAAGGGTTTCATTTGCACTGAGAATGGTCCATTGAGGGAACTCGCACTAAAGATCTTAGATGTTGAGCTAATGTGAGGTTCACACCGGCCAGACATAATTCAATCACACACAGAGAGATGATATATTTATGCTGCTCTATGTAAGACACATAAGGCATCCAACTAAGCTTCATGGAGTACTTGCCATAAGCCAAAATCACTATCAGCTTGTGAAATGTGAAAAATAAGCAGGAGATTACACATCAGTCATTCAGCATACATGGAGACACTGCCTCCATAAACAGGACATTTGACAATGATGGTACCGAAATGCAGACTGGCGCCATACTACAAGTCCTATAAAAAATGAAGGAATATACAGAAATGCCCATGCAGCATGTGTAAGGCAGATCATCATCTGATGGGTGACAAACTTTCCTTTATCCGCCTTATATGCTTCCCAAAGAAAATTTTAACTCATCTTCGGGATACTTTCTTCAGTGATGAAGGACCGGTCAAATTGAAAAAAAGACATGAAAAGAGAGTAAAGTTTCTAACCATTGCAATTTCCGTCTCAACCCTGCACTTCAATGACAGATGCAACGATTTTCATGAAGCTTGCGATGCTGATTTGCATTTCTTGGTGATAATCCGCCAGCGTCAATGGCTGTGTGGAAAAATCAGGTACCGCAAACTTGCACTCATTTGTCTACTTTGGAATGATGAAAAGCAAGTGACATACCAAGGGTCGAATTCACGATCTTTTGACTGTGAGTAAAACATTCCACCAAGTGAGCAAATCTATGTGCATATATAACGACTGACTAAACCAAGCGAGTTCCGAAATCGTTCTGGCCACATATTCCTGATGGAGCAGCCAGCGTGCCTCAAATTTACCTGATCCAACATGTAATTCATCATCAGCGGGTCTCCCTTATCAAAAAAATATTTTAGTGAATAACATACTGCATGCTCAAGAATAAGCTATTTGACATGTCAGATGGGGTAACATCTGCTTGAAACATGACATAATTCCCAAGGATAATCAAAATCGATAACCTGGTACAAACCACGGAAAACAGGTACCTTGATCCAGAAGCTGCTCGATCATCAGAATGCGACTCTTCGAAACGAGG